AGTTGGAAAATGAATGGGCATTGGGTCATCCAGTGAAACTATCTATAAAAAATACAGACAGGATTCATAGACTGCTGACCCTGTCTCTTAAGACCTGTCACCTTGCAGGGACCTGCCTTTGGCCTCTTCCTTCAGTGGTTTCCAGATGCAAAAAAAATGAAACTTGTCATGACTATAAGAACAATTCATTTGTAAGAATTTTATAGGGCATGTGTTGCTTTATTATCTTATTCCATAGATTTATGCAAAACCTCACTAGTATATGCCAAAGTCATTACCAACTATACATCCATGACCCCAGATATCATCTGTAGTCCAGTAGGAGAGCAGAGAGCTGTTTCAGAAGGCAGATCCTATCAAATCATGCCTCTTTGTCTCTCTTAGATGTAATGATCCTGGGGCTGTGCCTTCTCTAGTTTCTTGCATGAGAAGTGACATTAGGAAGTGACACATCCTAATGACTGCTGGAGGGAGGCCTGGTCAGGATTAGTGAACTGGCCTCTAGTGGCCCTAAGGTCCCTTGTTCTTACATTTTACAGAAACTGTGAAGGAAAAACTGGCACCATTTTGTTTCCTTCCTGGGAACTTTCCCTGGTCATAGTGCCTTCCTGCTATTTCAAATTCCAAAGTCCCCATTGCTGTATAATGGACAGATTTTCAGTTTAGGGTGATGAAAAAGCTCTGAAAGTAGATGGTATACTTGCACAACATATTGTAAGAACTTAGTGCCATTGTGCTATACACATAGAAATGATTGTATTAGGATTTTCCAGAAAAATAGAAATCAGTAGTATATAACATGTTTTTAGATTTCCCACTTATGAAGGCTTAAGAGTCTCATAATTTGGGATCTTCAAGCTGAAAAGAGTCAGTGATGTAGTTCAGTCCTGAAGATTTTGAATTTGCTTTCATTTGTGTGGAGTTAAAACCACAGCTCCAGTTATGACACACATATCAAGAGAAAAGAACCAGAACAAATCTTATCTGCTTCCTTCCTTCCTGAGAGCAAAAGTTCCCCCAGAAGAATTCCAGTCAGCTAATTTATATGCCAGGGAGCAGTGCCAGGCCACATAATCAATCCTGGCTGAGAGAATAATCATGGGGGATGATGCACAGGTGGAAGTTGGTGGGGACTGCCCTTTGGATCTGAAAACCAACATGCCACATACGATGCCTCATCCACAGGACAGAAGATTTTTTTGAGAAGGGACAGTGTCAATTCATACCGGATTCCCAGGGTGGATTAGGGGTCAAGCCAAAGTGTGTCTGAATGAATATTTCTTAGATGAATGCTCTCTCATATGTGTTTTGTGCAGTGGCCACCACCAAACAGACATTTACTGTGCATCTAAAGCTGGTACCAGTAAATGCAGGTCCAGTGTCCCCCAGTTTGACTCCCAGTTACCACCATCATGATACCATTCAACACCCAGAAGCCAGGTGCAAGATGACTGAATGGTGCTGCTCCTTCCACAAGTGGGCTTGCCATTTTTCCTACATGTTAGTAGCTCCTGCCTAGTCATGATGAAGTCAGGACAGCATAAAGATGAGAAATTCTTCCCCTGAAGCCAGTAGGACATGGACCAGAGAATCACAGATCTCAGCACATTCTGAATCTATACTTGGACCAGGGATTTCCCTGAGCCTCCAGCAGCCAGTGTGGTGTGACCATCAAAGGGCAGTAGAGTGTCACCTGCCAAAGCCATCTGGGTTTCTGGGGAACTTAGGCATCATGAGGATTCTAACCTGTAAGGAGGATTAGTGATCATGACCTGGGACCTAGAGCAAAAAGTGTTATTTTACCACATTGCCCTTGATCTGATGTACAGATTTTTCTGTCCTGTCTCTCAATCTAGCTCTTGGAAATTGGTGCATATTTCTCTGACACAGGTCCAGGTAGTTCATTCCCAACAGCTTGCTTCATTTCTATTAAAATGCTGTCACTGTTCACAAATACTGTCCTTCCCTGTGGCAAGACATGTCTCAACTCCTTCTTCTTTGCTCTGATATCCCTTGACCTGCCAGACAGATGCTTCCCATGGAAGAACCTCCTCCATTGTCCCCTGTACCTGTTCTCTGCCTGTCTAGCCCCTGGGGTAGCTGCCCAGCTCTGGTCTCACTAAGTTGCTAACTTGCTCAGGCTGGACTTGAATTTGCAATCTCCTTTACCTCAGCCTCCCAGAGTGCTGGGATTATAGGCATGGAGCTTGAATACTTGATATGCTTTCCCCAGTAATGAAGACAACTTCATTATAGTATTCACTTGAGACATTGTTGTTGCTTGCAGCCAGCTGTCTTCTCCTCTGCAGTCAACATTATTTGAGCCCCTGAACTGTACCCAGCCCTCATTGCTCACTGGGGAGACTGAGGCACATCTCCTATGACCTGCTTCAGGAGCCCATAGCCAAGGGCAGAAACTTATAGCACTGGATGGCTATTAAAACATTCTACATCCACTTGACAATGTAAGATTTTTATTTCTGGCTCTAGGAGTGAGGAGCACTGTGATCTTAGGAGCCTGCCCCTGTCTAAAGCACCTACAGTCACATGCAGAGTGGTGGCTGGAGGGTCATTCATTGGTGGCTAGAAGGTCCCTATCACGGCTGGAGCTAGGTCTATACTTGACATTTGCATTCTGCCATAAAATCTGGAGTCCTGGACCAAAATTACCCATGACCCTCCTGGGACGGAATAGAAGGGAGGAAGGGCCTGTGGTCCCAGAAATAAATTCCTGAGATACAGTGGAGATTCTCTGGCAGCCATCAGACAAAGACAGGGAAGACAATCTGGTCAGGATTTGGGTTCTCTGAAAAAAGTAGACAAACTCAGTTGTGAGCTCTGTATGGCCAGCCCAGCCCAGGAATGATGTTAGGACACAGTCTGGAATAAAAATGTCAGTCCAAACTATGGGACTAATAGCTGAAGGCACCTCCTGTGGGCTGAGACTGAGGCTGCAAGGCTGCCCTTCCCCATTTTGTCCCGAGCCCTGTTCTGTACACCACAAAGCCCCTCCAGCACCTGCCCTGGGCAAAGACTTATTTGCATAATGGGCAGCTCTCTCCAGCCAGGGGGTAAGAGAGGCCTGAGAGGAAGCCAATCCAGGCTGTGCCTCAGGAAGTAGCATCAGGCCACCTCCACCATGGCCTGGACTCTCTTCTTCCTTGGTCTCCTTGTTCACTGCACAGGTGTTGCTCCAGGGTCCCTCCACCCTGCCCAGCTCAGGGATCTGGGACCAGCCTGTTCTTGACTCGGCTCACTTGGGCCCTATCTGTATGGCCCAGGTGTTCTGGAACCTGCTGCAACTTGGGGGCTGTAGGGCAAAGGTCCACACACTGTGCTCACTGGCTTTTGTGAGCCTGGGAGGGGTGCAGCTGCCAGGAGAGAAAGGCAGCTTAGCTAATGTGTTCAAATGCTCCATCCTCAAACCAGGGCCATGGACTGGGGTCATCCCAGAGGCTGTCTTGTGGGCCTACACAATCCCTGAAGGTTAACCAGGACAGGTGAGGAGCAGTCTCATGGGGAGGAGCCCTCATCTTCAACCCCAACTCTGCTTTTCTCTCTTTGTAGGTATTGTGGCCTCCTCAAAACTGACTCAGCCTTCATCACCGTCAGAGACCCTGGGACAGACAGCCAGCATCACTTGTCAGGGAGATGATGTACAAAGGTACAGTGTGAACTGGTACCAGCAGGAGCCAGGCCAAGCCCCTGAGCTGATCATCTATTTGGATTCTGTCCGGGCCTCAGGGATCCCTGATTGATTCTCTGGCTCCAAATTAGGGACAACAACACTCTGATCATCAGTAGGGTCCAGGCTGAGGATGAGGCTGCCTATTACTGTCAGGTGTGGGACAGCACTAATGAAGCTCACAGTGACATAGGCAGATGGGGAAGTAAGACAAAAACTGACCTGTTTCCCATCATTCCTTTCTCCCTTGGTTACACTGACAAGAGAGAATTCTCCACATGGAGTGGAATTTTGTAGTCTTCCCCCATCCTTACATTCCTGATAGATGGGGTCAAGTTCCTGAACCTCTCCAGGCCCAGCTGATCCATTGTAACAATGAGTAAGACATGTTGAATAATTTCGCTTGCCAGCTTCTCTAAAACCACAGAAATTCTGTCACTCCAGGCCTTGTCTGCTAGCACTATGGGAGAATAGCCCTCACATAGCATCACCTCAGTGTCTCGGGAAAGGGACGTCAATGGAAGTTATTAATAAGATTTAGAGTCTGCATTTTCATGAGATAAGGCAGGTTGTTTAAGGATAGAAGTTGCTAAAATTTGGTTACCTCCATAGCATTAGAGATATAGTTAGAGGACACAGTGGGAAGGTCTGGAAATTAGTTTTCACTGGTAAACATGTATTTGACAATGGCACACTGTGCCCAAGTGAAAACAGTGTACTCAGTCAGATGCTTACATGGACGATAGGTTTTTAGTAAAGTCCTGAAGCAAAGAGTGACCTTAGTTACTGTTTTTACCCTCATTCTCCTGGGCACAAAGACCCTGGGTCCAGTGGTGAAGCTGACATAGGTGGGCTCAGTCCTTAGCAACAATAATAGTCACTGCATACCCTCAGAGGAAAGAAACACACTTCTCCTTATGGCAGCCCTACACAGCACAGCAGCCTCCCTACTCCCCACAGGATCTCCACCTCTAGCCTGACCACAGCCCTGCAACCACCACAACCTGAACACTGGCTCTTGGTGACAGCCAGGCCATGATGGGAGATGGCAGTGAACTCCTTGGGACACAAACCTTGCTGCCCTGTCTGACACTCACACTTCCCCTTCCCACCTAAGTCACATCTGCCCCACAGAGCCCAGGACCTGAATTCAGGACACCTGGATCAAAGCCCAGACTTGGTAGCACTGGTCTCTGCTAGCAGCATCAGAGTCTCTGGGCTTCAGTCTACCTGCTCTGAGGTGGGGGCAGCCATACTAACCATAAGAAGTTGATTTTTCAAAACTAAATGACACAAACCCAGAGAGGGGACTTACTAACTGAAGACAGATTCAGTGGGGCCTCACAGAGGGTTTCCAGGCCTGAAATCTCTTGTCCTTTCTCTGCAGTAATCCAAGGCAAGGGGCTCATCAAGGAGTGTGTTTTCTCTATAGTAGAAATAGGCACCCCAGGTCTAGGTAAGCAGGCAATGCCAGGTTTTAACAAAAGGGCAGATAGTGCTGAAATCCTCAACTGTGAGCTATGAGGTGTGTGCTGCAGTAATAATGCTAGTAATAGAAATGGTGATGATTGTGATGTAAGAGCACTGCTGAGCCTTAGTTACGAATATCCTGAGCTCCCACAGACTATGGAGTTACTCTCATTGTGGTGGGGGAAGGACCAGTGCTGGCTGTAAATATGCAGGAGCTGGCTCCACAAAGACAGTTATAATTATATCTGTACAATTTACATTGCATAATAGACTATCAGCTGTCAAGAGATGATACTTTATGCACTGGACCCATAAGGCCTAAGTGATAATTCAAGATTTCTTGTAAGGTGAATGTTCACGAAATGACTGCTCCTGTTGCTTCTAACCTGGATGATTTCATCCTTGGTAATTCTGATCAGGCCCAAAGTGTGTGGGAAGTAGCTTTCCTCCAGAAAGCTGTCCACCCAACAAAAGGAGCAGCCACCTCCACACCCTGGGCAAGCAGCTGAAAGACCAGAGAGAGGACCTGTCTGCATCAAGGATGGAAATATTTAGCCTGAGGATTTTCTCCACAGCTCCTCCAGGCCGGGCTGGTCCCAGAACACTCACAGAAGTCATTACTATAGGTCTGGGACTTCCTTGATCCTGTTCTGTCTTCTGTGCTAAGTTGTTGTGGCAAAGCAGAACACCTCAGTGCTATAGCCAAGTGCTACAGCTGGAGGCACAGCCAAGTGTTACAGTGTTACAATTTGAAGACTCAAGAATCCAACGGTCACTAGAAGAGGTGGAGAAAAATCTTTATCATGCCAGTGGGCTCAGAGGAGTTCATACTCAAAGACTGAGCACTCTACCAGAAATGAGAGCCTCCTTATATAGCAATCTACAGGGTAGGTGAGCATGCTCACTGAAGCAGAAAGGTGGAGTTACAGAACATTCCCACAAGGAGGAAGAGCTTAACAGAACATTCTTAAAAGGGGGTGGAGCATAACAGAACATTCTGAGAAGGGCGGAGCTTAACAGAACATTCCTGAAATGTCACACAGTTCAAACAGTCACAAAACATTTTGATACATTGGGCAGGAGTGCTGCCCAGCAGCACAAAAAACTACATTTCTCGAACAAAACATTCTGTGGGGAAAAAAACATGCAGGCAAGGCAATTTATTGTATAGTATGCTCTTATCAAAGTGACCTTAGAACTGTCATTTCCTCTTTCAGCCTTGTCCCTTACCTATGAATTGCACTTCCTACATTCTGTGCTCCCAGGTCAGGGAATCTGTGGCGCTTTTGGGAAAACAGTGATGGGTCACCCACAGGAAACACTAGACTGCTGGCTCAGGACAGGAGGCACAGGTCACAGCCTAAGTCTTCACACTGCTGCATGGTGGGTACAGGGTAGAAGGTAGGGATTAGTAACAATGCCCTGAGTATATTCAGCCCCATGTAACAAAGGAAGGAAGGGGTCTGCTCTGAACCCACCTGTGTCTTACCTGTCTTTGCCCAGCAGTACCATCCTGGAGACTCCTAGACCTGCTAAGCAGCTGCCAAAGAATCCAGTTTATTACAGTGGCACCTCGGTTCAACAACTTAATTCTTTCCATGATTCTGGTCACAAACTGAACTGGATGAGAATTGAATCAAATTTTTCCACAAGGTAAATGTTGAACCTAACCATTGGATTTGATTCAGTTCTTAACCAATTCAGTTTTCGACCAGAATCATAGAAAGAATTAAGTTCGTGAACCAAGGTACCACTGTTCCTAGAAACTCCCCATCTGCACTCCTGACTATACATTTTTCCTGCCCTGGAATCCTTTACTTAGAAGAAAATATGACCTTGGGCCTGAAGCTGGTCCTCACAGGTTCCCACTGCCACACACCCAGACTCTTCCCCCAAGGCACCAAATCAGCTCTCGCCAAACAAGTACTGTGACTTCTTTCTCCTCCCATCCTGATGGCAGCCCAGAGACACCTCTGCAAGGAGATGCTCCAGCCTCAGGTTGTAACCCACCCTGCCTGCCACACTCTGTCCCATCATTCTGCACTCTACTAGTGGTCCCTGTTCACCACATGATCCACTATTTTAGTTAATTGACTCATCTGTGTTCACTATTTCCTTAATGGTTCAGGAATTTTTTCATTAAAGAACATTGCATGAAAAAACACAGACATGAGCAGATGGAGGATAATTTTTCTCCTCCAAAATCAAGTCTGAAGGATGATGGTTGTAGTTTTCTGTATTCACCAATTCCCTATGAGACCTGGGACCTTCTCAGTTTCTCTTTCACCATCCTTACCATCTTAGCCTTGCTTTCTTGTTGACTTAAGACAACAGGATGCATACGTAGTTCCAACCATCTCAACATCATATTCAACAGAAAAACTGTTACAAAAATTAGTGTGTTCCTTTCCTCTCCAAGAGCATAAGTTCCCTGAGAAGAAAACAAGTAGGAGTGTTCCATCCATGGACCGGCACTAATGTCCTGGTTGCCTGGGACCTGGGAAAAGTATCTGGCTTATAACAAATGGAGATAACAGTCCGCAGGTACAAGCTGTTGAGATAGTCTGCTGAGACTGCAAACTGTGTCTAAGCCATGGCCCTACCCACAAGATGAAAACTTGAGAGCTGGGGCTGTGTCTTGGTCATGCTCAGTTTCCAGGAAGGAATGTGGAGCAGACCAGCATGATCTGAGTAAATATGGGTGGTCGATGGTCTCACCTTTCTGTGTCTTTGGTGCCATAGCCCCAAACCTCCCACACATGCACTTTTATCTGCATTTGGCACCAGTCCTGGAGTCCCATGTCAGTCCCTGAGCAAGGGATAACCAGTCCCCGAGTCCTGTGTCACACAGGACAAAGCCCTGGGATGTCTTCCAAGACCACCCTCCACACTAGAGAAAGGTACAGACATGTCTCAGGTGGGCCCTGACCTCTCCTCCTCCAGATAGGTGTGTCCATACTTTTCTGAGTAATCTTAGCCCCTCCTGCCTGGTCTCAAGACAGGTAGGGGACACAGAGAGAAGAGGAACACCTCACTCTGGGGAAAGCAGGCTAAGAATTAAGAAATTCTATATCTGAGCAGCAGGTTCTTAAACTACACCTGGACCACAGACACTCCGGGCCTCCAGCAACCAGTTTGCAGTGGCCACCAGGAGGCAACAGAGAGTCATAGGTAAAGCTGCTTGGGAATGGGATGGGCCTGGGCTTCAGAGAAATTCTAAACTGAAGGGTTAGTGACCTTGCCTTGAGATCTGGAGAAAAGGGTGTCATTTTTCTACAATGCTATCCTTGACACATATGCAAATTCTTCAATCTCTTCATGTCTCTCAGATCAGCCTCTGGTGCAATGTGCTTATCTGTCTCATACACCTGCTTACCACTACCTTCTTCCTATCTCAGCTCATTCTCATCAGCTAAATTCTGTTCTCTAGACTGCACCTCCGGGATGGGTGATTTTACAAGTAGGAAGGTTGGTGACCTGGAACTGAGACCTTCGGGAGAAGCTGAGCTCAAGTTTTTCAACAGCATTGTCATCCACATTGGTGTAAACATTCTTTGCCTTGTGTGGCTCTCCAATCCAGCCTTTGTAGAATTTGTTACTCTGACAGAGGTCCAAGTTCATCATTTCCCCTTAGACTACCATGTGTGCTCAAGTTCTGCAGCTGTCACACAATACTGAGCACAAAGTACAGAGCCTGCCCAGAGCAGCAAGATATATGGGGCACGGCACCTACAGTCTTTATGAGAACTCACACAAAGGACAGACAGTTACAGCAACTCACTGGATCCCTAAGACTTTCATGTACACCTAACCAGGGAGAAATTTTATTCTTACCATGAAGCAGAGGGCTGAGATCTGAGACAGGATCCCACACTTGGCTAAGTCTCTTATTGTCATCTGTAGAGTAGATTCAGATAACATAGACAGACTCATCATCTCTGGGCTCCCCCTGGCCAGATCAGCCCAGTAATGAGACCAGACACAGTCTGGAGTGGAGCTGTCACCCAAACTATAGGACCAGCAGTTGAAGGAGCACCCCATGGACTGAGGCTGGTTCCTCAAGGCTGCTGCCCTCCCTTCTCTGTGTTCCTGGAGCTTAGTCCTGCTCTGGATACCACAAAGCTCCCCCATCAGCTGCCCTGAGCTCCAGCTGATTTGCATAACAAGCTCTTCAGCAAGGGTATAAGAAAAGCCTGGGAGGAAGCCAGAGGAGCCTGGGCCTCAGCAAGGACAGCATCAGCCTGGATGCCCTCCATCATGGCCCAGATCTCCCTCCTCTTCAGCTTCCTTGCTTACTGCACAGGTGCTGCCCCAGAGCTCCCAACCACTTGCATAGTCCTGGGCTCTGGAACCAGCCTGGCTTTAACTCTGAGCTCAGGAGGGCCCTGCCCATGATGCTCAGGAACCTGACACAGGAGGGGGCCTCTCAGGCTGAGAGGCCCACACTGTGCTCACTGGTTTGTGTGAGCCTGAAGGGCTGCAGCTGCCAGAAGAAAGGGCAGGTTTGCTCTTGGGTTTAAAGTCTCCCTCTTTTCCTGAGGCTCATGGGCCACTGGCACTGAGATTGATGTAAGGGAATCTTGTTGGCCCATAGAATCCCAGAGCTCCTCCAGGCCAGGGAGGACCAAGGTCCTGGAAGGATCTTTCATCATCCTCAGCCCCATCTCTCATTTCTCTCTCCCTGCAGGCTCTGCGGCTTCCTATGTGCTGACACAGCCATCCTCTGTGTCAGCGACTCTGGGACAGACAGCCAGGATGACCTGCGAGGGAAACAGCATTGGAAACAAACTTGTAAACTGGTACCAACAGAGGCCACCTCAGGCCCCCATGCTGGTCATCTATGATGATGACACCCAGCCCTCTGGGATTCCTGACCGATTCTCTGGTGCCAACTCAGGCAACACGGCCACACTGACCATCACTGGCGCCCAGGCTGAGGACGAGGCTGACTATTACTGTCAGGTGTGGGATGGTAGCAATGCTCACAGTGACACAGACACATGGGGAAGTGAGGCACAAACCCACCACCGACCTGGCTTCCACAATCCCTCTCTACCCTGGTCACAGCTACAAAAGAAAACCTATCACACGGAAGAGAGGTTTCTAGTTCCACCACCACTGTCACATCCCTGAGAGATGGGAGAACGCTCCTGAACCTCTTCAAGCTCACCTGCCTTCACTGTAACCTCAGAAGCACATATTTACTGACTAGAACTGGTAGCTGCTAAAACCACAAAGAGCCAGTTAATCTTATAACACTAAGTCCCCGTATTAAGGAGAATTTTACTGTGACAGGGTCTTAGGTGTGGCAGCAGAAATATCTGTGATGGTTCTAGGGTTGAAGGATTGCACTTGAGTGGTTTAAGGCTGTCTGTCAAGAAAGGAACTGATTGGAATTGGAGAACATTTGTGACAAAGGGGCGGGGGTGGTGCACACAGCAGGCCAGAGGTCTTGCTTGGGGTTTTAACTAGGAAACTTATTTGATGAGCCACTACTTTAGCTAGGTGAGAATTTTGTGTCAGAGGACCCAACTGTTTACCTAGACAGTAGATTTTCAGGAATGTTCTAAAACAAAGAGGGACTTAGTTACTATTTATGCTGTCATATTACTGGCATGAGAATCCTGGGAAAAATAATGACTCTATTCCTTCCATCCTCAGCATTAACAAAACTCACTGGAGGATGGCAATAGCTGTTAAAGAAGGTGTGTGTGAAGTTTCAAGAGGGAAACAGACACAAACTTCTCTAAGTGCAAGGCAGAGAAGTGCTGGGTCAGCAGGGCCAGTCTCACAGGTCTCATGCCTCGTGGAACAGAAATGACTATGTGTCATGCAAAAAATTGAGCCTAGACCCGTATCTCTCACCGTGCACAAACCTAAAATTGAAATGGATCAATGATCTAAGTATTAAAACAGAAACATTAAATCTGCTGGAAGATAGAATAGGTAAAACTCTTGAAGACATAGGTGTAGGCAAAGACATTATGAACAAAACCCTGACTACACAAGAAATATTACAAAGAATCAGCAAAAAGGGTCACATCAAATTAAAAATCTTCATACCAAAGAAAATAACAGAGTAGAGAGACAACCAACAGAATGGGGAAAAAAATTGCCAGCTATTCCTCAGACAGGAGACTACTATCTAAAATATATAAAGGGCCATTCCACCTCTCCCAGCCCAGAGGTAGGGGCTTCTGGGCTGCCGTTCCACCTGTCCCAGCCCAGAGGAAGGGGCTTCCAGGCCACCGTTCCCGCAGCTCCCAGTCCAGAGGAGGTGAGCCGCACAGATGCCAATAGCAACCCTTCCTCCCACCCCCGTCAAAATGAGAAGACACATAAACAACTCTTGAAACCAAACTTCCAGATCACTTACAGCAACCCCAAAGGGAAATGAGATGGATCGCTCTGATACTCAACCACCTGGACTCCCTGAAGTGACAATAAAAGAGGATCTGGAAAAACTGCAATCAGAAATTATTTCTCAGATAACAGCAGAGATTGTGCTCATAGCGAAAGATGTGATTAATAAATCTAGAGAGGAGATGAGGAACATGATGCATTCCAACGTAGGAAACAAATAGAATCCATAAAACAGATGCAAATAGATTTCCAGGAGATCAAAAACTTCATTGAAAGTCTACAAAACAGAATGAGCCAATGTGAGGAGACAATTGCAGATGTAGAAGTTAAGATGGCAATTAGTGACCAGGAAAAGAAAAATTGCTTCAAAATGGTAAGGGGACACAAGAAATCAATCCAGCAGCTGCTAGATGATGCAAAGAAAAACATAAGACTGATTGGAGTCAACAAATAAACAGGAGAGAGTGCA